CATCTTTCCAAACTGAGTAAACAAAAAATTACAAAAACTTTCAATATATTCACTAACCTCATGTTTATTTTTTTAAAAAGATAGACCTAAACAGCACGAGTGAAATCATTGACAACAGTTAAAAAGAATCTGTATCCTTCTCTACTCTGGACATGGTATGGACCCCATACGTCTAGATGAACTAGTTCACCAAGACTTCTGGATTTATGTATACTAGTGCCAAATTTCTCTCGTGTTTGTTTTGCCTTATGACAAACCTCACAAGGACCACTACTTTCATTACAAATATTAAGTCTTTTTTTTAAAACACAAAGCACTTGGTCAGCGGGGTGACCAAGTCGACTGTGCCATAGTTGAGATGAAACAAAACAAATCATACCACAGGTTTTTGAAGAAAGAGGAACATTACTGCTAGAATTTTGATCAAAAAATATAGCCCTCCATCCGGACTACCAGTCCCCACATTGTTCTTCTCCAGATAGTCCTGAACACAACACTTAGTCTCATCAAACCTTATACAAACCTTATTGTCTCTAGCTAGCTTATGGACGGACAGAAGATTAACATTAAATTCAAGGACGACAAGAACATGAAATAAAGTCATATTATTAGACAATTTTATTTCTCAATCTTAATTATCTTAGCTTTAGTCCCATTTAGATGACAAACTCTAAGGCTTAAATATGTAACATCGACAATATTTTCTAGATTTAGAGAGCTAGAGGTCATATGTTGATTGGCTCCAGAATCTATTATCCACCCAGATTGAGAATTTTGAAACATACCTGCCATATTGGTAGAAGCTTCATCAGGGGTAGTGATTTGATTGATTAAGCTCAAGATCTTAGCAACCTATTCTTCTAAAAAACTAAAGGATGATTTTGGAAAACCAGAGTCAGGTGCAGAAACATTCCCAGTAGTAGGTATAAGACTGGAGTTTTGAAGTTTAAATTTTGAGGTTGATTTTGATTTTGAGGTCTGGGTCGATTATGAAAATCCTTGGGGAATCCTGTTAGTTTAAAACAACGTTCGATAGTATGTCCAGTGTTACCACAATGTTTACAAACAAGATTAGTATGATTCCTTCCTAGTCTTCTATTTTCAAAACTTTTACTTAGGAAAGCAGAATATTGGGTTTTAACACGATTTTGATTTAATTTGTTCCCCTATGAGACTCCTCCCTAGAAATGAGGGAAAAGGCGGTCTTAATAGAAGGAAGAGGGTCTCTGGTTAAGATGTTGCTCCTAATAGGTTGGTAAATATCATCTAAGACCATAAGAAACTGCATGAGCTTAATAAGCTGACTGTGTTCCATAAAATCATGGGAAGCATTACAAGTACAGGACATAAGTTTCACAAGAGCATCAAACTGCTTCCACAAAGATTTTAGCTTATGATAATATTCGGAGACAGACATGCTGTTTTGACTTAGAGAATTGATTTTCTGATACAGATTAAATGTGACCGACCCGTCGACCTTATCATAGGCCTCTTTTAGTTCTTCCCACACTTGAGAAGATTCCTTTGAAAAAACTTGTCCAAGGAACAAGTCCTCCGTCATGGAACTTAAGATCCATGAGAGGACAACGGAATTGCAACGATCCCACTGTTTTTCAAGGATTGGATCGTTTATGGGACGGGGACAGGAACCATCAATAAATCCCTACCTATTTTTAGTTTCAAGAGCTAACACCATAGCACATGAACACACTCTATAATTCTCAGTTCCACTTCGTTTGAAGAATAAAATAGAGCCTCCACTAGTGTCATTAGGATGCAAATACAATGGATCTCCAAAGTCTAGTTTTGTGACTTTGGATTCCATTGAACTTGTCGTTCTAGAAACAACTAGAGGGGTTTCCATTAAGCAAACATAAGCACACAACAAGAAACTGAAATGCTTAAAGGCAGGATTCCTAAAACGCTTCAAAGTGCTAGGTCAAGCAAACAAAACAGTTCCCAAGGCAAAAGGAAAGACAAATCACACAAAGAAAGAACAGTCTTACCACAAAATCCTCTAACAAAGTTAAATGACATAATATCAAGAAAAACAACCACCTAGTGACTGTTAACTTTTGTTAAAAGTAAAAGAAGAGCAATTATCAAAGAGCAATTCTAGGATGTACCTAAACAAACAACAAAAGTTAGGACAAAAAGAATGTGATATCTGGAAGAACACAAACCTTGATACAGGTGATCCAGATTGAGAAACATGTAGTAAAGTGAACGGCAAGATTAAACAATCTAAGAAAAAAGTCATTAAAGAGGAGCCACAATAGATCATATAAATCTAAGAAAGGCTCAAACCAATCGATCATTAGTACCACAATGTACATAAAAGAATCAAGATTTGGAAAAAAATTTAGCCAAGATACGCATCTATTTATGTCATAACAGGATCTAGAAATTGGACACAAATCAAAAGAAAGAGAAACATCAGATCTGGAAGTTAGGAGACAGATCTGGAAAAAATAACAAAGAGATCTAGATCTCTAACAAGCTAAAGAAATATGTGTACACAAATAAGAATCAAACATGATCTGGAACAAGGACACAGATCAACAGCAAACAACAGTAGCCAGATCTCGAGAGGGGACAAAAAAATTATGGTACACACCCAATCGATCCTTTCAAAGAATAGACAATAAAGAGAACAACAGATATCATGGAGGGATTTGGTATAAAGGCACATAAGAGCACCATGCATCAAAAAAACCCTAACCACTCACTTATCCTTTTTTTTAGATCAACAGATAAAGGAGACAACAATCATAGAGACGTACCTGTTGCTTTGATACCATGTTAAACTAAACATATTCAAAGGATTTTCATTATTAAGAACTTTGAAACAGAAATACAAGAACATAAACAGATTACAATACGAAAACTAAAGATCTAAATCTATTATGAAGAATATATCAACAAGAAATAAAAGACTAACACTATGTAAACGATAAAGATCAGATATAGATCTTAGAGAGAGAGAGAGAGAGCTTATTAGAGAAAACGAATCTGAATGAAAAAATGAGTTGTGTGTGAGCTGGATCTAGGTAAAGAAGCCTTTATATATGATTTTAGAACCACCAGATTTGCCCCTTGAAGAATTACAATATGTACTCCGCTAACCTCCAAATTCTCCCATTAGTGAGGCGCAGTCCTTCTATTTAACAAACAACTACATCTTTGACATATTAACAATATCTACGCAAACCTGTTAAAAGATTAACAAACAAGGATATTCAAAGTTAAGTCAGTCAACTAGAACAAATCAAGATTAGAAATTATATATATTTTAACAACTTCAATTTGAATATTAACATTTTCGAATGGGGAATTTCTGATAAAGTATTTTATTTTATATTTAAATACTAAAGTTTTTAACCTCGCGGATGGATAACAATTTTCATAATCATTTGATAAGATCCGATTTTAATTGGATCGGATAATGTCTTGATCAACTGGTCTTAAATAAACGTTATTTTGACAATTTAAACTTTAATATTATTAAAACTTTTAAATTCATGGCCAAACCCAATTAAAAGGTTTTTAAGATAAAGTTAAAAAAAGGTTTGATATAGTAAATTGAAAACCCTAATTTTAGGTTGATATTTCGGCTCATTTTGTGAAGGCTTTATTTTTTTTTCTTTCACTATAATACATTTTATATTATGAAAAAAGATCATTGATTCTTTTGATCAAATTACATAACTTGAATATAACAAATTCACAGTCTCCAGAGGGCGTGTATGACCGTTTCATTATCAAATCTCATGTCTATTTGTCAATTAGTTTTCCGGAGTAAGCAAGCATGGTCCTAGCTGCTTCGAGTCTAACTGGGTCATAATGACACTGAATGATGTAAACACAGAGACAACATTGTCAACTTTTGAGTTGAACTTTCCGCGATCATCTTTATCATTCAAGATAAAACATACGCAACCAAAAACTCAAAAGAATTTGATGTTAGGCACATGATTATTTATGATCTCGTACGTCGTTTTGGTATGAAGAAAGCCTCTTGGTATGGGGTTGGATGCGTAGTCTCCTGCCACCATTTCGTCTTCCTAGGGATGAAGTTGCAGGCTTCATCTTCATTCCATTTTGGTCATAAGAATCTTAACTATCATGCAAAGATCTTTATGGGACTTTAGGACAGCTAGTGGCCCCTGATCAATGAAAAGGGCCCATGTTCCGTCAGAGGAGGTGCAATAGGAGTTGCTTTTGATGATAAGTTGAAGAAAATGCTGAAATGGAACAAATTTTCACGCTTTGAAGAATCATTTATAGACGAAGTCTCAGAACTAGAGAGCTTAACAATAGCGTTAGTTGTGCTAGAATGAGGCATTGACTGCATACAGAGATGGTGAACTTCCATGTGTGAAAAGGAAATGCTTATGGCAATCCGGCATGATCGGTCCAAGGGGAGATGGGTTTTTATCAAATTTTAGGGCTCGTATGTGCTTGGGACCTCAAATCGATGTGGGACACTTTTGTATGTTCAATCTTAATCTTTTTAAATTCTTGAATTCATATATATGGGCGAAAGAATAATCGAACCGTCTGGTAGTTGGTTCCCTACGAAGCTTCCCTCAGGATAGCTGGAGCCCATCAACTAATTTATGCCCTCCTCATGGTAATTGAGAGGGTGTTCATGTGAAGAGTAGAAGAGAGAACAAGCACACTTTGTCAATGTCTGGGTTCTTCTTGAGCAAGTGAGAAAAGACGTACAATACCGAGTGATACCAATTAGACAGTGGAATCAAATTAAGAGAGTTGTTTTATCATGAGGGAGATATCGCTATTAAACTTTGATATAACTAGCAGAGCGTTTAAATTATTTTTAAAGAAAACAACCTCTTACCCACGACTCAGCAACCTGATTTGATCTACCTCATTTATTTGATTTATGAATTGTAGTCGAAGATTAGTTTTGTTTTTCTTACAATATTTTCCAACAGATGAAACATGGGTTCATGAGCTCTAGAGATGAGCAAATAAGTGCACAAAATTACATTTCAAATCATAAATATATAGAATTAAAGCATATATATAATGATGAGTTTCATCTATAGTTTCATAATAGCTTGGAGATTTCCTTAACCAGACTGTCCACATTCAAAGAAGATGAACCATTAGGACCTGTTGCTATATGTGCCTTCACCTTCCACTCCATGGCCTTGTTTCTCATTCTGTCATCTCCCATCAACTCTTGTATAACCCTCTTAACTTCCTTCCTTTTCACACCATTCCCCATCTCTAATCCAACCTCCCATTCCTTGCATATATACCTACAATCAGTCATCTGGTCTGCCAAAAACGGCCAACAAATCATGGGCACACCAGCCGACAAGCTCTCAATGGTCGAACCCCACCCACAATGAGTCAAGAATCCTCCAACTGAAGGGTGGTTCAGGACCTTTTCCTGTGAACACCAGCTGGCAAGAAACCCTTTCTTCTCTTTTATATACTCCTCTAATTCTGGAGGCAAAGCCGCAGACTCCCCTACCACCAAATTAGATCTAATTATCCAAAGGAAAGGGTAATTGCTCTCAGCAAGACCCCAACCAAATTCTATCAAGTCTTCTAATGACATCACTGTTGAACTTCCAAAATTCACATAAATGACAGAATTTGGTTCCTTAGACTGGAGCCATTGGAAACACTCTGGTTCTTCTTTCGTTAAGCTGTATCCATTGAAATTCGACACTTGAGTGTGCTTTTCATTTTCGGGTATCCGATCAAGAAGTAGTTGCAGTGGGCCAATGGTATAAACATGAGAATACATTGCCGATAAAGCTTTGACAATGCTTGTCTCTAACTCGTCGAACGTGTGGAAAATCTGATGCGAAACTTCGTGAGACCTTCTTGTAGATTCGGTAGTGAAGGTAAGAAGTTGGTCGTTGGGATCAGTTGTCCGAACCATGCTTGGGAAATCCTTTATACGGATTCCTTCCATTCCGGGAATCCAATCAATAATGGTGTCTAAATACCCATTTGTTAAGTAACTTTCATCTGCATGTACATGCATCATTTGATTTATCACTGTTTTTATAATTAGAAAACATTAACAGACAAGGGGAAAGGATAAAGGCTAAAATACATATAACACTGTAAGTGAATTGGATCTATAGATCGTCAAAAAATGTGTCTTAATCTATAGAGTAATTATGTGTCATTGGTAAAAACATTACAATAAGTTTGTAGGACGCTTTTGGGTGCATCCTAACATGGTTTTTTTTACCATTTCAAAATAAAAGTGTCTTATCAATTATTTTATATGACATTATTTCAAAAAAAAAAATACTATAATAAGATGTATTAATAGGACACCTTAAAAAGGCTAATACGACATTTATTTTAAAAATGTCTTACAAAATTTGTTACAATACACAATTCGTACCGTTGAATAAACTCTAACTCTATTACAGTGAACTAACAATTGTTAATTTGGTCCTATAAGCCAACTATTAAAATTCTTTCGACTTTATTTCTTTTCTCTTCACTAAACCTATATGGATTTTCAGTTGTCTGTGTGGATAAGTTTGTGTGTATATGGCAAGGGAGACCGATGGGTTTGAGGTAAGGGAGAGTTGAAGAGTTGGATTATTTCTAGGCCAATTATTGTGCTATTTTGCTTGACGTGGTTTATGAGTACAAGTGAGGGATTAATATAGCCATTTTGGCTTTAAATGGCTTAATGATTAAGCTGTAAAAAAATGCTCCAGTATATCTAAGGGTATAAGCCGCCAAACTATTAAGTTTATTAAGGTGCAAGTGAAAACAGTCTCTCTTACACATTTTCCACATCCTATAAATCGTAGTGTAAAAAACAAACTAACCTTTAAGTGGTACGAGCCCTTTCTCCATGAGCAACATGGTCTGGTAAAAGCCCATAAAGCCGCAAGCAGCAAGCGTCCAGTAGAGCATGATGGGGATCCCGAGCTTTTGTGCAACATCAATGGTGAAAACCGACATGAATCCATCAGAGATGATACAAGTAGGAGGAATCGGAAGCTTGGTTATAAGATCAAGAAAAGGAGTACTCAAGAAGTTTTCAATGGAATGAATGAGTTTTTGTCTAGAAGTGGCCATATCATCCAGGGAGCCACGAGAAATGCCATCAGGAATGGTTTCAAATCGGAAATCAGCAGGTGAGGCATCGAGGCAGTGTGGCCCTCCAGATTCAAGAAAACGCTTGTGGACGAAGTCTGTGTTTACGAAGGTTATCTGGAGCCCCTTGTGGTGAAGAAGCTCAGCTAGTTTGAGCATGGCCTTTATGTGGCTTTGTCCAGGAAATGGTATAAAGATGACATGAGGCTTCCTATCATTTGTTGACAATGCATCCATGTCTCTGTGTGTTCCTAATTAGAGGAGAGGGATTTCTATTTGTATACTGCTACATCTTATTCAAACCAAACCACTTAAAGACATGGACTAGGGTAAAATTGGTATTATAGCACGTAGGTCAAAAAAAAAGTTAAGCGTCTTAATAGACCGTTTTATATGACGAAGTTTATAAGAGCAAAAAAAAAATTAAGCATTTTATCTAAAAGCGTTGTAATAAGTTTATATAGGATGTTTTTAGGCGTTTTAACAAGTTCTTTTAGACACTTTTAATACACAATGTCCGATTAGCAATTTTATATGACATTATTTGAAAAAGTGTCTATAAAAACAAGTGTCCTGTAAAATCAAGTATCCAATAAAAAATGAGTTTAAAGGAATTTTCTCAAAAGTGTCCTATAAGATTACTAATGTAACGCATTATATTAAAAGTGTCCTAAAACAACTTATTCATCGTCCAAAAACTTATCACAACGCCTTTAGATGGAACACGTTATATTTTAGTCCTAAAAATTAAGTCTTATAAAATAGTTTATTAGAACGCTTGAAAATTGGTGTGGTCCTGTAAACTCATCTTTGATGTAGTGCACCTAAAACTTGACTAATTACTACCTTTTCTATAAATGAAATTAACAATTTAATAAATAAACCAACCTAGATGTAAGGTAGGTTTGGGTAGTGTAGGATGTTAGATGTATGCAACATTTTCTTCACTCCGGGGTTACAGGTATGTTTCTGTAAATAAGCCTGACTTGTAAAACACAAAATGAAAAGAAACGTGAAATAGAATTAAGATTTGCTTTTAGTTTTGTATTTGGTGTTACTATAAACCTACTCGTGCAATGTAGGGAGATATTATCTTGATTTTAATGTTTTCATTTTATTTCGTCTTTGTATATGTTATAATACGGTTTTCATGTGGTTTTAAGAAATGGATAATATTTTTATTTTCAAATAGAATATAAATTTGAAAATATCATCTAATTTTAAAAATTAAAATATCAAATTAACTATTTAAATTTTTTTGTTTTTTATGTAATTTATTTAATTCAATTTTT